TCTGAGTGTTCTTCTTTCCTTTATTTTCCTGTTAACTCCATATCAGCTTACAGACCCCAGGTCGCACATCCCACATCAGGGAAGACCTCCTGCCTGGGTCTGAGTCAAATCCCTCTCTTGGAATCTTCCGTGGCCTTCATTTGCTTTTCTTTGTAGTACAACTCAGGGGAAGCTCCACCTTTTACCCTTGGATTCTTTGGTTACTATCACTCTGTCTTACTGGACTGGGAATTCACTGCCAACAGGAACGACATCAGTTTTCTTATCTCCATTTATCCTAAGAGCAAAGTGGTATCTCACACAGAGTAGGAGGAGCCCAAGAATATTTGTCAAAGATTATAACTGCCTCTTGAAGTATCCAGTGTTATGCCAGCTAGAATGGGGCGCCAGTCCACTTCTAAAACTTGGGAGGCTCAGCCGGGATGAAAGCCACCAGATGTGAAGGAAGGGGCCTTGGGCTCGTGAGCCTTGGGGACAAGGGGGTCGATGTGTCCTTCTAGAGCCGCCCGACACTGCATCACAGCCCGGGGCTGTTTCCTACCCAGCTTGTCCAAGGATCAGCTCTCCTGACTCCTGTCCTGCCTAGCCTGGCCTGTTCGTCCATCAGCTGCTGCTGTTTCCACCGAGGGCCACCCTGGTGCCCCATCAGGAAGCCTGACTTCTGACGCCTGCCAGCGAAGGGCACAGTGCAGAGTTCTATCACACGTCTCCATCCCTGAGCTGCCTCTGGGCTCAGACATAGTTTGCATATTAGGAAAGGGCTGTGATGGCTTTGAGCTGATGTTGAGTCAGATTTCCTGAGCAACCTAACACAGGCACCTATGTGATTTGAGAGAAATACTTAAAATGTCCAAGCCTCAGTGGCCTTATCTATGAAGTGGGGATGATAACAATACCTACTGAATGGGATTGTTCTGGAGTACTGTAGAACAGAATTATTCTACCGAAATACAACAGAGCAAGCCACAAATATAGTTTATATTTTCCATTAGCTATATTTACTGAGTAAAAGAAACAGGTGAAATAAATTATGATTTGTTTCAGTTAACCCAGTATATCCAAAATATGATCATTTCAACATGTAATCACTAATAAACTAGTAATGAGATATTTACATTGTTTTTATTTACAATGTTCTGATTCATATAAAGTCTCAAACACCAGTGTACATTTCACCTTTACCATCACATCTCAGGTTGAACTAGCCACATGTCAAGTGCTCAGTAGCTAGGGCCTACTGTGTATGGCACTGCTGTTTTAACTAATTCCTACCAACTACAGGAACTCAGCTCATAGTTACCATTCAACAAATGTTGGCAAAAGGATTGTTACTCATTTTAAAACATCAAAAATTGAGTGGGTGGCTTGGACATTTGGCATAATGGTTAAGATGTCACTTGGGACACCATATCCCATATCAGAAAGCCTGAGTTAGAATCCTGGCTCCATTTCTGATTTCAGCTTTCTGCCAGTGTGCACCCTGAAGGCAGCAGGTGCAGTCTTAAGTACTTGGGTCTCTGCCACTCTCATGGGACCTGGGTCGAGTTCCTGGCTCCTGTTTTCAGCCTGGCTTGACCCCAGCTGTTGCAAGCATCTGGGGAGTGGGTCAGCAGATGACAGATCTTGGTATCTAGCTCTCTGTCCCTCTCTCTCCCTGTCTCACTTCCCCTCCCCTCACTCCTTCTCCTCCCCCCTCAAATGTAAACAGATAAAATCTTGTCTAAAAACTGGGTGGACAAACATTTGTCCTGCACATTTGCATGACCTGCCATATGGGATGATGCCTCAGAACTGCTGTTGTTTCTGTTTCAAAAGAATCAGGGTTTGTCTTGAAGAGTTCTCAGCCAGGCCCTGTACGTCAGCCTCTTTGGCCTCAGAGTGAGGTCAGCTTGGAGGTTTCTGATCATCTCCTCTTTGGGAGGTGGGGAAGAGGAAACTGAATGGGGCTCAAGTGCTGCGTGCCTGTCTCTACTTTTTGGCTCTTCTCTGTTTAATTATTTGGAGCTGGAACAACCTGATTTTAAAACAAAACACATGGGCTGGGAGTCGTGGGGAGAACGCTGGCTTAGTGATGTATTACCGAAGGCATGTGTCAAGTTGAGGCCCCATCCCCTGATCCACTTGCTCGCGTAGGTACTATTTTCCTGAACTTCAAATTCAGTTCTTTTTCCAAATTCTTAGACCTGCTTGGGAAGTCCCCGTGGAAGGAGGAAATACCAGGCCAGTGCTGTAGAAGAAGTTGGCTGTGGGTCTTCTCAAACACTCTTTTTTCTCTGTCTCCTTTTTGTTGCAAACCATTGGGTCCCAGGGTATTTAAATGGTTCATGAAAGAGCAAATGTTTTTCAAGGTGCCACAAAGAGAGAGAAGCACTGTGCAGAAGAGGGGCAAGCTGACTCACCGCTGGATTTCTCTCTCCTGGTCTGCAGCCAGTTCTCAGGGGAAGGAAGGTTTTGTCTCCCTTGACCTCACCAGTGCCTCCTTTGCTTGCTGGGAGAGGAATATTTGATATCCTGGGTACTTTCCATAGAATTCTAGCTTGAATGCCTCCACTGTCCATCCCATGAAGGAAGATGGGAATTTATCAGGACTGATGAGAACTTGTGCTCATCTTACTCAAACCTCTGCTCCCCTACTTGGAAGAGGCGTGCCTCTACAAACTCTCTTTCTAAGCCTCATGTCCCTCTTCTCTAAAAGCGAGACAGTTCGAAGTAAAAGTGTTGTGATGCTCAGGAGAGGCATTGCATACAAAGCACGTAGCGTAGCACCGGGCTATAAGTACAGGCATTGTGCCACCCAGCGACCTCATAGTCAACAGTGACCACATACGTGACAGTGGACCCATAAGACTGTGTCACCGAGTGAGGTGGCAGCCATCTTAATTTGTGTAAATGCGCTCTCTAGTGTTCCTGCAGTGACGAAATCGTGTAAAGATGCATCTCTCAGAGTGCACCCCAGCCTTCAGCTGCTCGTGATTGTGAACATAGGTGATTCAGCAAGGCCCTCAGCAGTGACATGTCCATCCGTACCAGCGGCAACAAACACCGTCGGCCACCGTGTCCTCTGTGGCTTGTGACACTGTGACCAGGGACTGCCTGGAGAGCTGACTCAACATGTCCCTGAAGTGCATTAGTGCCTGGAAGTCAGCCATGTCACTGGGACGAGTTTGATGTCAGTGTGTGTGTGACGTCAGAGGCTTACCTCTGTGCTGAGGCTTTCTGGTTATGGTAGGAGGATAGGAGTCTGGGTGTTCACTTTGTTAGCAGTTGTTTTGTGTTTTAATGGGAACCCACGAATCTGAGAGTAACATGCTGAATTGTTAGAATTTTGTACCACTGAGTCACTGAGGGGTGCGTTTGCTTCTTGATCTGAAACATAAAGTGAAATGCCACCCCCTCCCCCCCCCCCCCCCGGCCGAGTAGGGGCTGCTGAGCACAGCTTTTCTGCTGGGATGTTGAAAACCAGAAAGCTTTCTAAACACTTGGCAGACAGCTCCCCCACAGGAGCAAGGGAGGGAGGAAAGGAGTCTTCCGCTTTGGCTAAATCACGGCCCAGCTCTCCTGTCCAGGGCCTCAGAATGCATCGCGTGCTATCCTCCGTGTCGGAGAACTGTCGGAGCTTACAAGCCTGTCTGTTTCCTCGGCTCCTGCTAATTTTCCCAGTCCCACTTCTGATTTATTAACCATTGCCTGCAAAGTGCCAGAAGGTCCCTGCTGGGAATGGCAAAGCCCTGTCCAGGTGGACAGGTCTCACATTCGCCTGAGCCCATAAAGAGTACCCACCTTCCCTCTCCGCGGACTGCTTTGCTGCCATTGAACTTGATCAAGGTGTGAGTCAAGTAAGCCGTGTGTGCTGCTGCCATTAGACTGAACCTGCCCGGCAGCCTGCTCACTCCCCTTTTGCCTCAGTATTTGGGAGAGAAATTCCGAGTTGCTGTTGATGATACGGATGAGGAGTAAGGTCTCTCTTTCCTCGTAGCCCATTGCAGCCAGTCACTGAGTTCCGAGCGGGCAGGCAGCCTTGTATAATGCATCATCAGATCTCCAGCACCCCAACTCCAAGGCCCTACTCTTTTAGGTACCATCAAGGGAGAAGCTGTCAATTTCAAGGCACATCCCAGTTTCAGAGATGCTACAGTGTAGAGGGAAACCAGTGTCTCACAGCAGATAGGGTATGATGAGAACCAGTTGAAGTGCAGAATCCTCTTGGTTATCAGCCACTTCTCCCATTTCACTCCCAACCTCACCCCTCACCCCAGCTCAGTGACAGAACTGTGAGTGGTGAGAATGGGTGTGAGGTGCGCCTCTCCACTGGGCTCCACACCTGACTCAATCCTACATGCCCTTGTGTGCTGCCAGCTGTGCACGAAATTACAGAGCTGAGTTTAGACCCGTGAACTGCCACTTCAGTCATTTAAGTTTCTGAAAGACAGAGGCACCATGGGATTTCTTTGGATCACGTCCAGCTTAACAAGATTTAAGTTACCTTTTGAAGGAGAGATACAGGGTTTGGGGAGGGACTTTGGGGACCTCTGTGTGTCCCTCTGGCTAGCCCGTGTACCATAGTATGATGGCAAAGAGAGGGCCACTCGCTCCTCTCTCTTCATGCCCCTGCTCATCCATTTTCTGGATAAGGTCGGGCTCAGATGCGTGGGGATACTCACTTCTTCCTCGCCTACCTGAAACGGCAATATTAAACGTTATTGATGACTTTCATTTCACTCATGATCCCATCTAATTATTGTTATTCATAATCCGAACGACTTCTGAGCGCCTATGGGTTTCCGACCCATCTTGGTGCTATGAAAGATGGTTAGTCGGGTTTTAGAGAAACGTATTTCCCAACGAGATTACGTGACAAAAGAATTGAACACTTTCTTATTTGTACTAGTAAAAAAGTGGTCTTTACCTCTATATTTACACTGCTTGCTTGCTTTCTTTCAGTTTTTGGGGATAACGTTTCTTGGAATTGGACTGTGGGCGTGGAATGAAAAGGTAAGTTGGATATTATGAAAATGCACGCATGTTATTTTATCTGTGATGCCTCTATTGTTGACAACTGCAAAGTATAGAGAAACATGGCTCATTAGTGCAAGGCCACATTCTTGGAAGACAAATGTCATATTCTCAAAGACCTTAGGAATGAAGCCTAAATCAAAATAATTCCAAAGGAGGAGATGGTGTTTGACTTGGCGGTTGTCACTGGTTAGGATGCCGAGTCTCACATTGGAGTACCTTGGTTTGATTCTCTCCAGCCAGGCTCCACAGTGGCGTTGGCTCAGAGTGGGTTCCTGTCTCCCATGTAGAAGACCTTGACTTAGTTCCCAGCTCCTGGCCTCTTAGTTCAGGCATTTGGAGAGTAAGCAGTGAATGGAAGCATACTCTTTGTCTCTCTGTCACTCTCTCAAATTTTTTAAACACTTATTTATCTATTTATTTGAGTGGTAGAGTTATAGAGAAAGAGAGTCAGAGACCTAGAAAGAGGTCTTCTATCCACTGGTTCACTCCACAAGTGGCCGCAACGGTGAGAGCTGGGCTAATCCAAAGACAGGACAAGGAGCTTCCTCCAAGTCTCCCAAGCACCTGAGCCATCTTCCCCTGCTTTCCCAGGCTGTAAGCAGAGGGCTAGATCAGAAAGGGCGCAGCTGGAACATGAACCAGCACCCATATGAGATCCCAACACCATAGGCAGAAGCTTAACCTACTATGCCACATGGCCAGCCCCTCAATTTTTTTTTTTAATTAAAAAAGTAATATATCATGCTGAGTGAAATAAGCCAGTCCCAAAGGGACAAATATCATTTGTTCTCCCTGATCAGTGACAACTAACCGAACACCAAAAAGGAAACCTGTTGAAGTGAAATGGACACTATGAGAAACAGTGACTTGATCAGCCCTTGTTCTGTTGATGTACAACTTAATACTTTATCTCTTTTAGTATTTTTTTTTGTTCTACTAAATACTATTGGTTGAACTCTGTAATTACACACAGTTATTCTTAGGTGTTGAAATTTAACTGAAAAGTGATCTCTGTTAAATATAAGAGTGGGAATAAGAGAGGGAGGAGAGGTACAATTTGGGACATGCTCAAGCTGACTTGCCCTAAATGGTAGAGTTAGAAACGTGCCAGGGGATTCCAATTCAATCCCATCAAGGTGGCATGTACCATGCCATCTCACTAGTCCAAGTGATCAATTTCAGTTCACAATTGATCACACTGATAGGTCTAAGAGTCAAAGGGATCACACAAATAAGACTAGTGTCTGCTAATACTAACTGATAGAATCAAAAAGGGAGAGAACGATGCAACATGGGAAGTGGGATACACAGTAGACTCATAGAATGGCAGATGTCCTAAACAGCCCTCTGGCCTCAGAATCAGCCCTTAAGGCATTCAGATCTGGCTGAAGAGCCCATGAGAATATTTTAGGCATGGAAAGCCAAGACACTCTGGCCCAAAAAAATAAACAATAAGGAACCCTAAATGAAAAGATCTGTGCGAGTGAGATCCCAGTGGAAAGAACGGGCCATCAAAGTAGGAGGTACCTTTTTCTGCAGGGAGGAGAGTACTTCCACTTTGACTATGACCCTGTCGGAATAAGATCGAAGTTGGCAAACTCAAAAGGCTTCCATAGCCTTGGCAACTCAGGACTAGAATCTAGGGAGATTACTGACACCATAAACAAGAGTGTCAAATTATTAAGTCAACAACAGGAGTCATTGTGTACTTACTTCTCATGTGGGATATGTCCTTAATGTGTTGTCCAATGTGAGTAATGTTATAATTAGTACTGAAACAGTGTTTTACACTTTGTGTTACTGTGTGGGTGCAAACTGATGAAATCTTTACTTAATATATACTAAATCGATCTTCTGTATATAAAGATAATTGAAAATGAAAAAAAAAAAAGGAGGAGAGGTACAATTTGGGACATGCTCAAGCTGACTTGCCCCAAATGGTAGAGTTAGAAACGTGCCAGGGGATTCCAATTCAATCCCATCAAGGTGGCATGTACCAATGCCATCTCACTAGTCCAAGTGATCAATTTCTGTTCACAACTGGTCATACTGATAGGTCTAAGAGTCAAAGGGATCACATAAACAAGACTAGTGTCTGCTAATACTAACTGATAGAATCAAAAAGGGAGAGAACGATGCAACATGGGAAGCGGGATACACAGCAGACCCATAGAATGGCAGATGTCCTAAACAGCCCTCTGGCCTCAGAATCAGCCCTTAAGGCATTCGGATCCTGCTAAAAAGCCCATGAGAGTATTTCAGGCATGGAAAGCCAAGACATTCTGGCAAAAAACAAACAAACAAACAAACACCCAAACCAAACCTAAATGAAAGATCTCTGCGAGTGAGATCCCAGTGGAAAGAACGGGCCATCAAAGTAGGAGGTACCTTTTTCTGCAGGGAGGAGAGAACTTCCATTTTGACTATGGCCTTGTCTAAATATGATCAGAGTCAGTGAACTCAAAAGGCTTCCATAGCCTTGGCAACTCATGACAAGAGCCTAGGGAGATTACTGACACCATAAACAAGAGTATCAATTGTTAAGTCAACAACAGGAGTCACTGTGCACTTACTCCTCATGTAGGACCTCTGTCCTTAATGTGTTGTTCAATGTGAATTAATGCTATAAGAAGTAATCAAACAGTACTTTATACTTTGTGTTTCTGTGTGGGTGCAAACTGTTGAAATCTTTACTTAATATATACTAAATTGATCTTCTATATATAAAGATAATTGGAAATGAATCTTGATGCGAATGGAGTGGGAGAGGGAGCAGGAGATGGGAGGGTTGCTGGGTGGGAGGGAAGTTACTGGGGGGAAAGAGCCATTGTAATCCATAAGCTGTGCTTTGGAAGTTTCTATTTATTAAATAAAGGTTAAAAAACAACAACAACAAAAAAGTAATGCTATAAATACACGATGGATACTGTGATCTGAGCAGTTAGCTATGAGATAATTTCCTGACCCTGGCACAAGAACTTCAATAATGTTTATAAATATCATTAAGTCACCTTGTAGTCTTTTTTTTTTTTTAAAAACCTTTTGGAAGACAAGCTATTTTTTTTTTTTTTAATTTAGTGTTATACGATAAACGGTTAGCATGTAGTATGAAGTAAGTGGAATATAAATCCATGTGGAGTGTCAGATAAATTCATCACTAATGCTAAAGAATGTGAAAACTTGGCTGTGGATCGCAAGTGTTAAGAAATACTCAAAGCTTGTGCTCCTGTACCAAGCAGGCAACGGGAAAAGCTGGAAATAGAGAGCAGCCTGTTCAAGGGCGCAGTGAAGATCGTGACGTTTGGGCGGTTGTAGCTACATCACCTGCCGCATTGCATCTCTGCTGGTGCTGGCTGCGCAGGAAAACTTTGTCTCCTACCTGGTCCAGAGAGTCTGGTGTTGGGATTGGTTAAAAGTTTGTATAAACTGAGGGATTAGCTTGAATTTTCTCAGAAGGCCATTCTGCTTTCTCTTTGGTGCACCACCCTCTGAGCCTGGCCAGGGCTGAGTTCTGTTGAAGAGGTAAATGTCTGCAGGGCCACTGGCAGCAAAGAGAGAAGCAGCGGGGAAGGAAGGGGGGCCACCAGCAGGAGCCTCTCGGGTGCAGGTGGCAAGTCCCACCACGGAGACCAGGCTCAGACAGACTGCGGAAACGCAACACGCGAGGTGAAGCCTGGGCTTGGAAAATTCACTCAGGTACCGAATGCGCCTGTGCGATGTCAGATGCTTCCTGGAAAACGAACCACCTTCTAACAGCCAGTGTCCCCCAGTCGAGTCCCCCAGACAGAGGTAATTTTATCTCCAGGAGCTTTGACAGTGAATACAGGTCTTCTCAGGGGTTCTGATTAGTTTCTGCCTCCATCCCACTTCAGCTCCGAGATGTATATTGGAGGAATCTCAGAAATTCCTCCTTTTTAGAAGGCGTCCGGTTGGCTAAATGCCAGACAATGCAGCTTTTTATAAGTCCTTTGCTACGAGTCCATCTCTCTCTGCTTTGAGAAGATGCTGGAAGGCATTACATGACTAATGGTTCTTCCAGTAAACAAAGAGTTAGTCGTTTTGAAGTGATTTTTATTCTTTTTGTGAAGCATTATCTTTTTATTTCATCGGTTGCCTCAAATGTCTCTTCTTTGATGGAATCACAGACTTCGAAAACTGACACTAATATCAGAGCAAGGGAGTGAGTGGCTCGGTCTTGGGGAAGTCCCTTCTCTTCCGAGGCCTTCATCCATGAATAGGATGATTCTCCAGGGAGAGGAAGTCATCTGGCCACAGTTGGACCCCAGAGAGCACAGGTGTTTGGCCATGCAGCAGCCCCGCTGGGTGAGCACTGGTCACTTTCCTGGGTCCTGGGCACGGGGGTCCAGCAGATGATAGTGCAGAGTCCCTGCCTCAGGGAGCTGGCATTCTAGTGGTGGAGACACAGAAAAGAAGCCGTTAACTGGCTGAGGATTTGTGTCCAGTACTGCTGAGTGCTAGCAAGAAACATCAAATGAAGGCTGGGGGGCTGCCCGGAAGTGGCAGGAGGAGGAGCGTCTGGGGGGAGTGGTTGGGAACAGTCTCCCTGAGGAGGTGGCTTTGGAGTGGAGGCCTGGATGAAGCAGAAGAGATGCACAGCGGTCTAAGGGCAGGGCATCCAGGGACGAGGGAGCAGCAGGTGTGCTGGCCCCGAGGCAGGGCCTTGGTGAGTCTAAGGAGTGCGCACAGGGCCAGGAGGACTGGAATGGAGAGATCAAGGACAAGGAGCAGGAGGGGATTGGCAAGAAAGGCAGGCAGAGGCCAGCCTGGGCACAGGTTTGGATGTGTTCTGGGTATGAGAGGAGTGCTTATTTGCTTTTTAATGAAATGAATACATGCATTTATTCATTTGAGGGGGAGAGCGAGAGACACCTCCCATCTACTGGTTCACTCCCCAAATGCCCTGGAGCCAGGGACTCAGTCCAGGCCTCCCATGTGGGTGGCAAGGACTCAACTACCTGAACCATCACATGCTGCCATCCAGCGTGTGCTTTGGCAGGAAGCTGGAGTCAGGAGCAGAGCTGGGACTTAAACCCAGGCACTCAGATACGAGATGTGGGTATCCTGGTGCCATATTATCCACTGTGCCCGCTGGGGTATTTTGATTTAGAAGTGTCCTGATCTGACTTTTGACTTCGATCTCTCTGGCTGCCATGTGGGGAAAGAGCACAGCTTTGGGATGCTCTATGGGTGAGTGTTTGTGTCTCCCCAAAATGATGTGTCAAGGATGTAACCCCCAGTGTCATGATATTTGGAAGTGAGGCTTTGTGAGGCAATTTGGTGGGGTCCTCATGAGTGGCATTAGTGCCTTTGCTGTAAGAGACAGGCAAGAGATGATGTCTGTGCCAGGTGAGGGCAGAAGTGGGCAGGGGGCCTCCCCGACACTGCCTCTGCCCGTGCCTCCATCTTCCCAGCCTCTGGAACCAGGAGAAACGCATCCTTGGTGTTTGGAGACCCGGTCTGTGATATTTGTGAGGTGACTGACAGAGGGCTGGGGAATGGGTTCCTGCGTTCCCCATCTCATCTGTGGGACTTCAGGCAACTGCATTTTCTCCTCTGAGATGCCCTTACCCTGTGTGTATAGTGAAGACAGCTACTCTCGCCCGATAGGGCTGCTGGGAGGATCAAACGAGATGGCTGCCAGCACCGTGCTCACCACAGACCTGGCTCTGTCCACTGGACGCGTGGTGTAGCATGTCCACTCCCACGTGGAGGCAATAGCAGGACAGTGGCCTTGACAGCTGCCTCTGATTTTTGAGCGTTTCAAGCTCTGCTCCGTGGACCAGAGAATGGGGTTAGTTTTGAGGCCATGTCAGGAGGGTGTAGTGTGCTTCGATTGCCTTGGTAATTGCAGAGGTCTCTCCGTCATGGTCCTCTGGGTTACCCTCTCAGCTGGGCCAGGCCTCTGAAGGATGACATTGAGGTGTAGCCCAGCCAGGTCAAGGATAATAGGCAGTGTGCACCTGCTGAGCCTGCGAATCAATACAGTCCAGGGTGTGGTGACATTTCCTCTCAGGGAGGCCTGCAAAGGTAATTCCTGGAACTGGGTCACGGCTGGAAGGATCAGATTTCCCTAATTGATGGAGTCTTCAACGTGTTTATGTGCCGTTCAGATGTATTGGAGGCAAGCCTTATTACCTCTCATACTTACTTAACACCAATCTGAGTTTTAAACCTAGGGCTGTTATTGCAGTTGAATATTAGACGTAATAATTACATAATTCATTTGATCTAAGTTCCAAATCAACTGTGAAGGCACAAAGGGAGAGCATGTCTCCAGGGGAAGCTGGTTGCCAGGGAGGTTTTCAGAGATCGGAGGCTCTGCCCTCTGGAAGGAACGTTAATGAGGATGTGGCATGAGGCACCTTGACAGTACTCTTGGCAACTTCCAGCCATGATCAACTCATTTGCTCAATTAGCATTTATTGAGTACATATCATGTGACAGGACTTGTGCTGAACTGTCGGGCTATGAAGATAAAGAGGCCTCATTTCAGACCTCAGGGAATTTACTACCTAGTTGTAGGAAGAGAAGGCAAAAATGGGTCATATGTACACAAACACATGCATGGATAGTAGACGGCCTTACTCGCTGGTTAGGAGTGTGTGTACATTTAACAGTCCCCACAGCACGGTGATCCCCATTTCTGTCTCTTTGCATGGCTCTTACTATTGGGAAGACCTTCCTTCTGCCACACAGGAAGCATGTCACGCTGGGTTTACTCACTGCTGCTGGAGCGACACTGTTGTATCCCACACAGTGAGTCCTTCCACATGTTAGCCCTTGTAGCATCTCCAGGCAGAGGCCTGGTTCCTTCAGAGTTTGCAGCTGCACAAATGCACCTGTCTGGGCCATCCTCACAGGCCTTGGTTGTGTTCCTCTGACCAGCTTCTGTACCCCTGGAAGGGTGTTTGGGGGCTGTAGAGGGTATGTAGCTGCGCTCTCTTTCCTGCCCTCAGCTGGGATCAGTGTGGCTGGACATCCACTATTGATCACTCAGAGTCCCGAGTTGGTCATAGACCCAGCTGGTTTACCCCATCACTCCACAGCTGCCTGTTCTTCAGAGTCTCATACAAGATTGCACTGGGAAATCTTAGCCTACCTCACCACTTGCAGAGATTACTGGAGAGCGGAACCGTCATCAAGCATGCTGTCCGTTCTGCTCAGCTTGGTTTCAGGTGCACATTTAAAAACATACAGAGACAGAGGCAGAGAGCATGCCCATCTGCTTGTTTGATCTCCAGATGCCTGCAGTGGCCAAGACTGGGCCAGGAATGCCATCCAGGTCTCTCACATGGGCAGCAGGAACCCAATTACTTGACCCTTCGCCTTCTGCCTCCTAAGGTCTGCACTGGTGGAAGCTGAGGTCAGGAGCTGGAACTAGGACTCAACTCTAGGCACCCAGTGTGGGACACCGGCATCTGGACCTCTAGGCTGAATGCCCATTCCCCAGTTGCACAGTTAGTCCACCCTACTCCCTTGATTCCTCCCTCTAAATCAGGCCTTTCGTCAGCCTGTTCTTTCCCCTGTGCCACCTGGGGAATTCTGATTCAGTAGGTCTGGGATGGATGCTGGGATGCTCCATTTCAACGAGGCTCCTGCATTGTTCAGATCACAGTCGAGGTTACTTAGGAGTGATAAAAGCCACGGACATGTTGAGGGCCGAGGACAGAGCCCAGTGAAGAGTCCCTAGAAATGTCCTTTGTTGTTGACAGTCATTCACTTGTGTGTGCCCTTGAGTGTCATCAGCCAAGCAGTTTCTAATCCATCTCCTTGACATTGCTCCAGGCTGTTTTTCTGCATCCTGTATTTGTAAGTAGACCATATGCTTTATTTGTTCTCTGATTACCCAGCTAGGGACTTAGCTGAACCAAGTACTTGCTTATTGAATCCATGCTGGATCATGGAGCACATCATGCTGTCATCCAGGAGCTCACGCACCGTCCTCAGTTGAGCAAGGACTTCAGCCCTCTCGAAACACTTTCCTCACCTGGCTTCCAAGATACCCCCCTCACAGGCAGGATCTCCCACACCCCTACATTTTAGAGGGCCCCAGGCTCAGTCCTGAGACATCTTCTCTACTTTTCACTCTGCTCTAAGAGGTCTCATCCACAAGCCACCATCTCTGATGACTCCCAGATTTATTGTCTGGTCCTGACCTCATCTGAATCCCACACTTGCAAAGCCAGGAGGCTGCCCAGCAACTCCACTCAGGTGCCACTTGGATTCTGAAACTGGACACATCCAAGAGGACACTCCTGATCCCCTCCTCAGACCTGCTTTTCCCAGTTGCAGTAAATGGCAACTCCATCTGTGCACTCCCGCAGGGACCCTTGACTTCGTTGGGTTTCTTTTCATACTCCCACACGCAGTCAGTCCACGGGCAACTGTTATCAGCTGTGCCTTGAAACTGTCTTAAGAGTATGAGTCCTGGCCGGCGCCACAGCTCACTAGGCTAATCCTCCGCCTTGCGGCGCTGGCACACCGGGTTCTAGTCCTGGTCGGGGCGCCGGATTCTGTCCCGGTTGCCCCTCTTCCAGGCCAGCTCTCTGCTGTGGCCAGGGAGTGCAGTGGAGGATGGCCCAAGTGCTTGGGCCCTGCACCCCATGGGAGACCAGGAGAAGCACCTGGCTCCTGGCTTCGGATCAGTGCGGTGCGCCGGCCGCAGCGGCCATTGGAGGGTGAACCAACGGCAAAGGAAGACCTTTCTGTCTGTCTCTCTCTCTCACTGTCCACTCTGCCTGTCAAAAAAAAAAAAAAAAGTATGAGTCCTTCTTACCAACAACAAAATCTAAAACATGCCGCTACTACCCCAGAGTCTTTGTACGTACTCTCCCGCTGTGTGCTATGCTGTCTTCCAGAGATCCACATTGACAGTTTCCTTTCTTTTCTGGTCCCAACTCAAACGTCACCATTGTCCTTAGGTCTTCCTGTCTATGTAGAGTAGCCTTTCTTGTATTTTTTCCTCTAAGGACTTACCACTTATGCTCTAAGAAGTTTACTTGCCTTATCTCTCCCTGTGAGAGCAGAGTTTTTGCTAATTGCTGCACTCAGTTCTTAGTACGTTCAATGGCAGATGGTGATGTTCAGAAAGTAGTGCACACACAGCATGCCTTTGGCGTAGTGGCTGTAATACTACTTGGGACACCCAAATCTTGTGTCAGAGTGCCTGAGTTTGAGTCCCAGTCCCACTCCCAATTCTAGCTTACTGCAAATGCACCCTGAGAGGTAGCAGGTGGTGGCTCAAGTACTTAGACCCCTGCCACCCATGTGGGAGACCCTAATTAAGTTCTGGGCCTGCTTTTGGCCTGGCCCAGTCCTAGCTGTTCTGGAGAATTGAGGAGTGAACCAGTGGAAGGACTTGTCTTTCTCTCTCTCTGCCTTTCAAATAAAATGAAAATAAAAAATAAAATTTGAAAAAAAAAAGAAATAGTGTTTATGAAAAAATGATTGAGCAAATGAATGACAAAAGCAATCTTTTGAACCGTGCTATCTTGTGGCATCTATCACTGAGTTGTGGAAATCACTGGTTGCCTCAGATCTCCCAGTAGGCATTCTGTGGGACTATAATGAAATCTCTGAGGCAGGGTGCTTATGCAGAAAAGAGGTGTATTTAGCTCACAGTTCTAGGGCATGGCTCCAAGGCATGGTGCCAGTATCAGCTCAGGTCTGGTGAAGGCATTGTGTCATGTCATGGCCGGGGACAGAGAGATTCAGGAGCCAGACTCAGGCTTTGCTAACAACTCACTCTCCCCAGAACTTACTCCAGGCACCCACACCCCTTCTGAGGGCAGCACCCCAAAGACCTAGCAACCTCCCATCTCTGCAGGGTCCAACCACCTCCCAACATCCACACTCGGAGGACCAAGCCTCCCACACATGAGCCTGCAGGGCCCAAACCACTTCCAAACCATAGCCCATCCGAGCACTGTATTAACCATTCCTACAGCATAAAAGGAGGCAGAATTACCTGTGGTTTCTGAGGTCTGATTACCAGGTGGTACTGTGTTAGAAATAGCAAGTCCATTTATTCTGGGTATGAGGAAAGAAAATAACCATTTATTTCTGTCGTGAAGATGGGACTCTATATATGATTATCTCATTTCATGGGGAAAATAGGGCTGCCTTTCCTTTTCCATTTTTTCATGACTTTGTTCTGAGGTGGGGGTAGAGGCAGGGTGACTGCTCCCCAGCAAGGGCAAGGGAGGGGATTGCTAGGGGAGGTGCCGAGGGCTGGTGGGGACTCAGCTTTTCAGAGGAGGACAAATGTTCTTTCCTGATCTTAGTGTGAGTTTGAGGTGCCCACTGCTTCCAGGGCCAGCCCTGACGCAGCCCCGGGCCCGCTGGGCAGGAAGGGTAGCCAGCCCTGGCTCGCTCGTTTGGCCTGACAGCAGCTGTGCGGGTGGCCCTTTGATGCTCACTCCGTTCCCAACATAGGATGCGCAGAAGATGTTTGCAGACTGAATGCACGAGCGTATGTAAACGCGCGCTCTGCCTGTTGTAAGATGCTACACAGGAAACTTTGCTCCTTATAAAGTGGTTTGTTTTTGCTTCCATCATGTCTGGATCGCCTCGGGTTAGATTTTAAGAGAAGGCATTCTGTTTCAGATATGGGGAAACTGAAGCCCAGAAACGTTAAGCCAGGAGTGTGATCCTCTCCCTCTGCTCCTCTCTCTAATCCTCCATTTGCCTCCAATGCACTCACTCAGTTGGGTTGTGTCAGAGGTGTTTGGAGGGCAGAGCTGGAGCCCAGGGCTGAGCCAAACAGGGAGACTGGGGAATTCGCCCCTGCACTGCCTTTCACCTTGGCTTTGTGTATGTGATATGGAGTCGTTATTTTATTTTATTTTATATTTTATCTTATTTGAAAGGGAGAGTTACAGAGAAAGAGAGAGAAAGACAGAGAGAAATCTTCCATATGCTAGTTTACTCTGCAAATGGCTGCAACAGCCAGGCCAAAGCCAGGAGCCAGGAGCCAGGAGCTTCTGGGTCTCACACGAAGGTGCAGGGGCCCAAGCACTTGGGCCATCTTCTGCTGCTTTCCCAGGCCATAGCAGAGAGCGAGATAGGAAGTGGAACACCTGGGTCTTAAACCGGCACCCATATGGGATGCTGGTGTTACAGGTGTCGGCTTTATGCATTATGTCACAGTGCCAGCCCAGATTCAGAGTCATTCTCCAGGGGGCTTTCCCCTGCCCTGTCTGTAACTGGAAGTCTCATCCCAGCCCATCCACCTGCTTCCTGTCACAATCCTACCATAGACTCACTTGGAAAAACTGTCCCTGTTTTCCCAGGAAGGCAAATTAGAGACAGTGAGAGTCTATGACTCGGCACACAGCATTGCAGGACGAGTTTCTGCAACCAGGGGCGGCGACAGTAGGTCGGAGCCCTTACCCAGATGACTGGCACCGAGAAGCGGGTTCCTCGGCTCTGCACCTACTCTCAGGAGACATTGCTGAGTTCTGAAAATGATGCCTCTGTGAAGATTGCATTTTATCGTCTGCAGAGCAGTGCAGTTGTCCATGTCTCTCCCTCAGTTGTCCAGCTGGGCCCTACCGTTCCCCATTGCATGTTCAGAGCTGGAAAACACTTGGCTCTCGTTCAATGCCAGGCGGTTGACCTCCCAATGCTCTGATCACCGAACATGCCGTGAGCTGGAAAAGCTTTCACTTTTCCCTCTGTGCATATCTTTGCAACTTTATTCAGAGGGGTTTCTAGGGGCTCACGGTCCAGCCGGATCACAACTCCACCCCGTGATGACACTGCCCTGAGTGAGAATCAGAACTCTAAAGCAAGGCAGGTGCCGCAACTCAATAGGCTAATCCTCCGACTGCGGCGCTGGCACACCGGGTTCTAGTCCCGATCGGGGCGCCGGATTCTGTCCCGGTTGCCCCTCTTCCAGGCCAGCTCTCTGCTGTGGCCAGGGAGTGCAGTGGAGGATGGCCCAGGTGCTTGGGCCCTGCACCCCATGGGAGACCAGGAGAAGCACCTGGCTCCTGCCTTCGGATCAGCGCGATGCACCTGCCGTGGCGGCCGTTGGAGGGTGAACCAACGGCAAAGGAAGACCTTTCTGTCTGTCTCTCTCTCTGTCCACTCTGCCTGTCAAAAAAAACAACTCTAAAGCGAACTTCATGATAAATGTTCTCCCTTACCCACCCTGCCTGCCTGCCTGCAGCCCTGAGCAGGAGATGAGATGTGGGCCTCTGCTCCCTCTTCCTCCTGTAGTGCCTACCCCTTCCCCAAATGCACCTGCCCACTTGCTTCCAGGGCTGAAGTGGGGGTGGGGCCGTGTCCCCGGCCTGGCAGATGGTAAAGGGGTCTTTCTGAGGTTTCACTGCTAAGTCCCCTGAGCTGGGTAGACAGCTCACTTCTGGAGGCCTCCTGGCACCCTGCTCAAACGGTGGGTGTCTTCCTCTGCCCGTGCATCCCAAGCTCTGCCCTCTGAGGCTGCTTCTCACCCCTGTGGTATGACAGGGCCAGGGATAATCTGAGCTGGCTCTCCCATGCAGCCCTTATGTTTTTTCCTGGACATGCCCATCTGGGAGGGAGGCCCCCACCAGACCAGCCCTCGCCTGCCACTGACCTCAAAGCAGTTGGCTAGCCCTTGTTGGTCTAGATTTCTGGGGCAGAAGTCAGTCCACAGGTCCCTTCCCAGGCAGGGTCTGACCTAGCTGCTGGTTCTCTCAACTGCTGAGTCCCCCTTTAAAACTCCCAGTCGGGGCCGGTGCTGTGGTGTAGCAGGTAAAAGCTGCTGCCTGTGGTGCCGGCATCCTATATGGGCGCCGGTTTGAGACCCAGCTGCTCCACTTCCTATCCAGGTATCTGCTATGGCCTGGGAAAGCAGTGGAAGATGGCCCAAGTCCTTGGGCTCCTACACCCACGTGGGAGACCTGGAAGAAGCTCCTGGCTCCTGGCTTTGGATCAGCGCAGCTCTGGCCGTTGCGGCTATCAGGGGAGTGAACCAGTGGATGGAAAACCTCTCTCTCCCCCTCTCCCTCTCTCTCTCTCCTTCTCCCTCTCCTCTCTCTGTATAACTGTGACTTTCAAGTAAAATAAATAAATCTTAAAAAAAAAAAAAAAAAACCTCCCAGGCAACCTCCTGAAACTTCCCACTGGGTTTAGGGTCAGAGAGGAGTTGTCCTCACCCTGCCCTCCCTCTGGTGCAGAGGGTCACACAGCACACAGCAGCCCTGTCTCCTGGTATCTCTCAACCCCCAGCCAGTCCTCCCTGTAAGCACCTGCCAGCGGTCCCATTTTGCTGATGTGTGCAAGGTAAAGAGGTTTTTAGCTGGTGTTGGCAGCGGTGTTGATGTATGTCTCCTACTCACTTTGGTTTTCAGACAGTGATGAGTGAAATTGCAAGCAAAAATTTTCCAACATCAGGTTAAAATTTGAGAAGTAGACCTGGAATTTTGATGTAGTGGGTTAAGCCACCTGTGACACAGGCATCCCTTATGGGAGCAACAGTTTGAGTTCTGGCTGCTCCACTTCTAGTCCAGCTTCCTGCTAATGCACCTGGGAGAGACACGGAGAATGGCTCAAGTCCTTGGGCCCCTGCCAACCATGTGGGAGACCTAGATGGAGTTCCAGGCTCCTGGCATTGGCCTGGTCCAGCCCCAGTAGATGTGGCTATTTTTGGAGTGAACCAGTGGATGGAAGCTTCCTCTCGCTCTTACTCTCTCTGTCACAATGTCTTTCTGTTTAAAAAAAAAAAAAATTTGAGAATCAGATACCTGATGTCAGGTCAAGATAAAAATCCTGGTGCCCCCACTCTGCACCAGCTGTCTGCCAGCAGTAGAAATTCCTTAAAGTGGTTACAAGACCACCCTGAGGCCAGGTAGCCTGGGCTGAACTCCCTACCCTGCATGAGCTGCATGGGCAAGTCACCCTGTCTCTGTGTCTGTTCTGGGTATCCCTGGTAGGGATGTTGCAGGGTGAACTAATCCAGGCAGCCCAGGGCATGGCCGCGAGTTTAGCTCTTATGTCATTGCCTTGGTCAAACTTTCGGCAGCTCTCGCCTGTATCTCCACACCATGCCAGCCGTCTGCAAGGCATGTCCCTGCAGCCGGAGTGGAATTTCTGAGAGTAGAAGTGGCTGGGCCTTCCTCTGCTCAAAACACCATCAGCCTCCCCATCTCTTCTTCTTCTTTTTTTTTAATAGAAAACTTTTATTTAAGAACTATAAATTTCAAAAGTACAACTTTTGGATTATAGTGGTTCTTCCCCTCATAACCACCCTCCCACCCACAAACCATCCCATCTCCCACTCCCTCTCCCATCCCATTCTTCATCAAGATTCATTTTCAATTATCTTTATATACAGAAGATCAACTTGGTATATACTAAGTAAAGATTTCAACAGACTGCACCCACACAGAAACACAAAGTATAAAGTACTGTTTGAATACTAGTTTTACTGTTAATTCGCATAGTACAACACATTAAGGACAGAGGTCCTACGTGGAGAGCAAGTGCAGAGTGACTCCTAGTGTTGATTTAACAATTGACACTCTTGTTTATGGCATCAGTAATCACCCTAGGCTCTTGTCATGAGTTGCCAAGGCTATGGAAGCCTTTTGAGTTCGCCGACTCTGATCTTATTTAGACAAGGCCATAGTCAAAGTGGAAGTTCTCTCCTCCCTTTAGAGAAAGGTACCTCCTTCTTTGATGGCCCGTTTTTTCCGCTGGGATCTCACTCACAGAGATCTTTCATTTAGGTCATTTTTTGCCATAGTGTCTTGGCTTTCAATGCCTGATATTCTCCTGGGCTTTTTAGCCAGATCTGAATGCCTTAAGGGCTGATTTTGAGGCCAGAGTGCTGTTTAGGGCATTTGTCATTCTATGAGTCTGCTGTGCATCTCACTTCCCACGTTGGATCATTCCTTCCTCCTTTTTTTTTTTTTTTTTTTTGACAGGCAGAGTTAGAGAGAGAGGAGAGAGAGAGACAGAAAGGTCTTCCTTCCTTTGGTTCACTCCCCTAATGGCTGCTATGGCCTGCACTGCACCGATCTGAAGCCAGGGGTGGGGTGCTTTCTCCTGGTCTCCCATGCAGGTGCAGGGACCCAAGCACTTGGGCCATCCTCCACTGCCCTCCTGGGCCACAGCAGAGAGCTGGACTGGAAGAGGAGAAACCGGGACTAGTACCCAGCGCCCCAACTGGGACTAGAACCTGTGGTGCTGGCGCTGCAGGCGGAGGATTAGCCGAGTGAGCCACGGCACATTCCCTCCTTTTTAATTCTATTAATTATTATTAGCAGACACTGGTCTTATTTATGTGATCTCTTTGACACTTAATTTTATCTTTATGATCATTTATGAATAAGCCAGTCCCAAAGGGACAAATATCATATGTTCTCCTGATCTGTGACAACTAACTGAGCACCTAAAAGGAAACCTGTAGAAGTGAAACTGACACTATGAGAAGCAATGACTTGATCAGCCCTTGTCCTGACTGTTGAGGAACAGCTTACTACTTTATTCTTTTGAGTATATTCTTTTTCATTTCTTCTTGCCACTGTCACGGGTGAATACCTTGTTGAGCCAGGTCCTGTCACTTTGTCCCATGATTGCTCACAGGTACCCCTGCCCTGAGTCCCAATGACACCTGCTGCTGTACCTCTGCGCAGCGCGCTCTGTACTCCCCGTCTCCCCTCCTGTGGGTGTGACTATCTTCTATTCTGCATGCTCTTAACTGACACAATACCTGACACCTGGCCCATGAAAGGATTTGTTCTCTGAGGTTCCGGAAGCAAGGCTCACCAGCCTCTGGGTGAGACATTGCCCTGTTTCGGCCTGGGCTGTAGGGACAGAATACCACAGGCTAGGTGACTTTAGCAACAGACTGATTTCTCACAGTTCTGGAGGCTGGGAAGTCCACCATCAACCTGCTAGCAGATTTAGTTCCCAGTGAGGGCTCTCTTAGGTTGTAGACAGCTGCCTTCCCACTGTAGCCCCACATGCTAGAGTGAGAGTGGGCGGGCTCTGGTCTCTTACAAGGACATGAAGCCCTTCATGGCTTAACAGTTCCACCCCACCCTTATGATGTCCAAACCTGGTCGTCTCCCCCAGCAGCTTGTCTCCAGAGGTCAACCCACTGAGGAATAGGGCTTCAGCATAGGAACTTGAGAGGCGCATAAACATTCTGTACATGACTTTGTAAACTTTATACTTGGAGCAGAAGCTTCCTTAGGTATGTCTCCCATCTTTTGAGTGTGCAGATGAAAATATCTGGGGGATGGTTAGGCACATGGGCTTTCTGAATGGTGGCGCATCTGGATGTGCTTGTGTTCTGTTTATGGGGCAGTCACACCCCTGTGTATGTGGTGGTGGTGGGGGCAATGGTTTTCCTGCCGGTTAGCAGTACCAGCCGACAGAAGTTGGTGCAGCAAGCCTCTTCACAGCCACTGGATGGGGGCCTACAACATGACTGCCCCTCCCTCCGTTCCTCACTGCAAAAGCAGGCCATGGTCATTTTTTATCTGCAAGAAAGGATTACATGAGTCTCACCGATGACCCTTTGTGACAAGGAAAAATGAGCAGGAACCGTGTGCCTTTGAAGCAGCCAGGCTTCTCCTGGATCGGCATCTCTGCCCAGTCGTGAGCTAAGCTGCTCCTGCTCCCTCTCCTCTCTGCACTGGTCGGCTCCTTAGAAGCTCTCTTCTGGTTCCTCGTCCTCTCTGTGGCCTCAGCAGCGCCTCCGCACACAGATGGGTGTTTGAGTGTTGCTGAGTAGCTTTGCCCTGTAACTTTCCTTGAGGGTATTTTTCTTTAAAAAAATTATTTATTTAAAGGGCAAAGTTATATATGAAGAGAGAGGTCTTCTCTCCACTGATTCACTCCCCAAAGGGCCACAACAGCTAGGGCTAGACCAACCTGAAGCCAGGAGCCAGGAGCTTCATCCGGGTTTCCCATGGGGGTGACAGGGGCCCAAGCACTTGGGCCATCCTCCACTGTGTTCCCAGTCCATTTGTAGGGGAACAGATCAGAAGTGGAGCAGCCAGGACTCAAACTGGTATCTATATGAGATGCTGGTGCTGCAGGTAGTGGTCTTTGAGGAGCATTTTTTAGGGGCAGGTTTCTCAGTGGCCCTGTGGTCCCTACTTGGTCTTGCTGTGGACAGTGCTCAAAACCACACATCCAGTTCTCCTGGACTACCCCCTCTCTGAGTAGCTGCATTTTCTCAGGGGTGTCCTAGCTGGTTACCCTTTCGCAACAGAGAACTGCTTCTCTCCCTCTGATTCTAGGGAAGCGGAGTCAGGTCCACCCAGTAGGGCCTGGTCTCCAGAGGGTAGCAGAGCCAGGACCCAGTCTCACTAATCTCACATGGGTCCCTGTGGCCTGGCTCTGCGTGCGCATGACGTATGCCTGTCTGTTTCTCATCCTGCAGTTGGAAGGAATGTGCTTATATATGCAAAAGCAGAAGAGTCCCAGACCGGGGTGGGGGCTGGGGGGGTGTTGGTGCTATTTTTGTCTCTCTTTTCTCCGTGGGTTGAGAGAGAAGAAACTGAAGCTTGCCAGGTGGCATAGAGAGGCTGCTCTGAGCTGTTGGGGAAGAAAGCCACAGACACTCCTGGAGTTGTGTTTTCCTTCTTGTTTCTATCTGTGCATGGGACCAGCTTTCCAGAAGAAATCCTTCCTCTGAACATATCCCTTTGTTGCTTAAATTCCAGAGACAGCTGAACAAATGAGGTGCTAATGAGGAGATGGAGGAGGGAGGGAAGGCAGCCTGGGGTTTCACTTTCTTAAGGAGACATACTATGTCCATCATACCTTGGGGCTGTCAGATCTTGCCGGGCTAGAATGTGGCTCACAAGTGGAAATCACTCGGGAGCAGTGACTCTGAGCACCAGGGTGCCCAGTGTGGTCCTCCGGCAGCAAAGGCAGCTTCGCTTCTGGTTCCGTGCTCCACCATGCTGGTGATGGGTCCGCATGCTTTACCGCCATCACCAGCTTCTCTCACTCTGCTGTTCCACTTCTCATGGCTTCTGCCTAATCTCGGTTTTTGTCTACTCATGGCTTCCACTTTGTGCCTTTTCTCTGTATGTTCTTAGAATTATTTCCAATTCCCCAAGAAAGAAGACGTG